TAGAAAGAAAGAGGCTACGCTTCGATAGTATCTATAAAAGGTAAGTAAGTATATAGTAAGGAGTTAGGTAAAATAAAAGATATACCACTATTAAGGTACTAAGCTATTTCGTCCCTTAGCGGAGCTTTGTAGCCCTTACGTCCACTAAGTATCTAATTAAGCCACGATCCCTTCTTTGCTACTGCTTAAGGCGTAGGTTGATATTACTACAACTTAAGACGTTCCTAGTAAGGAAGAAGGTACTCCTTAAAGCTCTTTCGGTACCTCTCGCGCTATTATTTATCCTAATCTATAGTTATAAAGAATTAGAACTTATTAATAGATACTAGGATTATTCTAATTATATAGAGATCACCTCGAATATAGTTAGTCTAGCTATAATATTTGCTTAGCTTTTATTTCCTAGCCTTAAGTGCTATAAGTATATTCTACTTCTAAGGCACTTTCTTCCGTCGAAGCTAGTTAACTAAGGACTTAAGATACTTAAATAGCTTATTATAGATTAGAAAGATAAGGTGTGTAGTTACGTTAGTGGTCTTTAAAAGCTTAAGGGTAAAGTTAAAGAATAGTTACGTGATCTATAAAAGGTAATTAATTTAACGCTATTCGTCCGTATTAAGTATTATATCTAGCTAATTAAACGCACGATAGAAGTTAGTTAATGCCGATCGAAGACGCTTTGCGCGTCAAAGCATTAGAAACGTAGAGTTCCATCGCGTCTTAACGTCCTAAAATAGTAGTAGCTTACTTTCTTTAGTCTAGAGATCGCGAAACGCCTCACGGCGCTAGGAGCTATAATTAATATAGATAGTAAGGTCTCGAACCTACTATAAAGTGAGTTAAAAGCTAGAAGTAAGAGAAAGGAAGAAATACCTTACTTAAAGTATACGATATCTATCGCTTCCTCGCACTTATAGTTATATTCGCCTAAGCCCTCTAGGACCGCTTAGTTATCTAGCGTAGCTTAGTTATATTATTCTCTAGGGCTACATTTATCCTATTAAGTAGCTTATTTAAGCTTAATTAAATAATATAGGCAAGGTATAGGACTCGAATAAGATCTATAGAATCTAGTAATAACTACTATAACGTAGTAAAGAGAGTCTCATTATTCGATGCGTTATTAGCGGTAACTATAAAGACTCTATCCTAGATCTAATGCTTCTTTAATATATCTAGAAGTAATATATAAAGGTTTTCTCCTAAATAGACTCTAGGGGCTAGCTTAAAGCCTAGTAGAACCTCACGATATTGCTAATCCTCGTTAATAAAATAGCTAGTAATAGCTATAAATAATTACTTAAATAAGGATATCTAATAGTTAAGGGCAATTAAGATCTTCGAATGCTCTAAAAGCCTACGTATTATACTCTAGTGCCATTCTTTAACTATTATCCTAAGATAACTATAGATAGCCTTTACTTTAGGCACTTTAGGCATTAAAGGGGTAGACTATATTATTTATAATAACTAGTGGAACTCAGGGTGCTTAATAAGGCGAAATAGGAGCTAAGCGGTAGTGATAAAGGTAAGGATTTGCTCTTCCTACACGTCTTACGTAAACGCTTTCTTTATTGCTAGGTTTTCTCTCTTAAATAATTAGTATTATATTCGTTGGATAGTAGAAGACTTACTACTTCTTGAAGAAACTTAGTAATCGTTTTTATGGTACTAATTGCCCTTTAATATACGATTGTGTCAAGATATCTTTAATACATCGAAGTTCTATATCGCGAGGTACTAGCAGGAATAAGCGAAGATAGATACTCAAGAATCGTCCTATAGCGCTTATATATAAGTATTAGTATGCCCTTAAGGGCGTCTGCCACCTACTCAAAATAGTTCTAAATTAAAGACTAACGCCTACTATCCTAACTAATTTTGCTTATCCTACCTCTATTGGTTTAAACCTACCACTCTACCTATTCGGAATATATTATAGGGTCGTAGAGAACGTATCCCTTTATATAAGTAGGTCTAATACGCTTAAATATAGAGGGAGGGTGTAGTGGCGGTAATAAGAAGGCTATCTCGTGATCGAAATTAAGTGCTAGTTAGCTCCCTCGCGAGAGAAACGGGATACTTTCTATATCATCGAAGTTAGATAATAGAAAGATATTAGAGTGTTGGCTTTAGGATATTATAGTAAAAGATAAGCTCCGTAAGAGAAAAATAAGAGAAAAGTAAGAAAGAGGTAGGAAGAGAATAGAAATATACTAAGTGCTCTATATTAGTGTTAAGGATAGACTTATCACTAAGTTAGATCCTAGACACTAGAAATAGCTAAGATTAGTAGACTCTGATGACCTAATATAAGCCCGCCCCCCTAAAGCCCACCAAAGCCCACTAAAGCCTATTAAAAGCCCACTAAAGCCCACCAAAAGCCCACTAAAGCCCACTAAAGCCCACTAAAGCCCACTAAAGCCCACTAAAGCCCACTAAAGCCCACTAAAGCCCACTAAAGCCCACCAAAACCCACTAAAACCCACTAAAAGCCCAACAAAACCCACTAAAAGCCTATACCTAGCCCATTTAGATTAAGTTTCCCCTCAAAAATTTACAACTAAGTTTAGTATCTCTACCTTTAATCCGAATTTATAGCCTACGCTTTGCCTATAATAATGTTAAATACTAATTAATAATAAAAGGATCCTAATAGATTTAATTTACCTACCTAAATAATAAATTTAACGAGTTATTAAGGCTAAAAAAAAATAAAGTGAGTTTCCTTCTAAAACACACACTACCTTCAGTAAGGAAAAATATATATTTCCACTTCTACGTCACTAGATAGGACGCATTATAATAAAAAACTCCCTTTTCTACCACAACAGCTTTATATAAGTACGGTTAGAACTAGTAATTAATAAATTATCCCTTAGATTATTAATAGATACACTTAAATTTCCTTTTGTTTCAGTAGTAAATAAATAGAATTAAAGGGTAAGTTAATTGGTGACTAGAACATATATAAATAACAGAATTTAAATACGATTAATTAGCTAAGTTATACACGCCAAGACTATGATTTTATGCAAAAATGGGCCTAAATAGGCCTGAATGGGCCGTGGGTTGGGTTAGGCTTTTAGTTTAAGGCCCACGGCCCATGCGGGTTGGGCCTTGGGCCCGACCTCTGGGCCCATGTATGGGCTTTGGCGCAGTCTAAAGTAGACTATACTCTAGGCTCTCTAAGCTATAAGGAAAAATCTCTCGGAGTACTATACTATAACCAACGATAAGGCTTATAGTGATATTTACGCGATTACAACTATCCTTACTCTATTAAAGAAGCTCCGCTTCTTCACTACTTAGGATTAGCGTAGCGATATTGACTACGTTTAGCGATATCGTGACTATTTAGAGAAGGAATTCTAGCGCTATAAGCAACGACTTTTAGAAAGTAATAGGCCTATCATATCTAAGGGGTTAATAGACCCACTTAGCGTAGATAATTTAATTAAGATGCTCGTCGACTTATAGATATCTATATAACCTAATAAAATTGTGGATGATAACGATAAGCTCGTACGCTATCTTATAAAAGGTATATTTATTAATTTATATTACTTCGGTTTTAAATAAGCGATGCTAATTAAATAGGGCTTATATAACTACACCTTAGAACTTTCTGGAAAGAGTATTAGCATAAGTTTCTAGTACTTATAACACTTACCTATAATATTCTCTCTATTCCTATAAGTGGTGTAGGTGTTGAACGTCTCTTTAATTATGCTTATAATATCTATTATTATCGATAAGGGAAACTTAAGCCTAACATAATTAGGTAGCTAATACTCTATATATATGCGTTAAAGTTTGAGATTAAGTAAAGGGAGATAGACTTCACAAAAGAGCTTATTTTAGCTAGAGAGGCTACTATTATAGACTAGGAAAGAGGTTCTATACTAGCCCTCCCTCTTCTTGATCTAATTAGTGATAACGAGGAAGATAAGTTAGTAAATAAGCTATTATCTAAATAACTAGCTATCTATAGTGAATAGGTAAGATACAAAAGGCCACAGCGCATAGGCCTACATTCCTAGGATAATAATAAAGATAATGACTAATATCTTTAAGAGATTCTAGTTAGGGAAAGTAGTATATAGCGAAATAGGAGAATACGAAAGAAGCCAAAAATACCAAAAGGATTTAAGATTGATACTCTATAGATATTAAATAAATGATTTATAGTTATACTGAATTCTTAAAATTAGGCAGGAAACGTTTACTAACTTAATACCAAAGAAAAACTGTATAAAGATTGCGTACTCTAGAAAGTCACGATGCTTAGCGTTTTATAATATTTATAAAACCGCTAGTTAACCAAGACCGCAATATAGTTTTAAGTTAAAGACCAACACTAACCACAAGCGGTTTGCGGTCTTGAACTTAAGACTAAACCCCTAAATTTGCGGTCTTGGTCTTGGTTAACCATGGTCTTTGCGGTTCTTGCCGCAGTCTAATAGTAACTCTTAGGGAGTAGCTATAAAATAATAGTGTTAACTTATTAGGAGTCTATTAAAATACTACTATAAACTAGATGACGGCAGAAACACTGCCATTTCTGGCCGCAAGTGACGCCGTTTTTGGCAGCTCATCTGCCAAAGTTACTGCCACCCACACGACCACTCCGGGCACGCACCAACACTGCGGCCCCAGTGCACGGCCGAGTCGTGTGGTTCGCACCGCAGTGGTCTGCTCTAAGAGTCTGGACCCACATCTCATTAGTTTACTTGACCCTCAAACTCCCCCAAGCCTTCAGATCCCGTTCCATGAGGGCGCCGAAAATGGCTCACCCGAAAACCGTGCCCTTTAAATAGCAGCGTCTCCCGCCTCTCAGGCTCTTGTTCCAGTATCACCTGTATCACCTCTCTTCAATCTCCAGACCTTCTGCTATAAGTGTCTTCCGCAGCCTTCGCTTTGAAATCCTCCTTATCTTCTAAAGCGATCTCGGAACCTTCGTCTCATAGATCCTGCCTTGTTTCCGCATCTATCGCATCATGGCTCGTCGCGCTCGGAAGGCCCATAGTCCTTCATCCAGCGAGAGCGAGTTGTCTGATCAAGAAAGCGTCGTGGACAATCAATCCGACACTGATCTGACGGAATTCGAGGATAACGCAGAGCAACCAGGGGACATCAACGATGCAGCTCTACTCTTCGCCGACAATAAGCACTCGCCCGAGTACTACATCCAACAACTCCAAAACTTTGACGAGACGGTGTACACTCAGGAGGATTACGGCAAAGGTAGACTTCCGCATAACCCAACTTGGGTCGAAGGTCTCGACCCAAAACCCAACCCGGACCCAACGCTGGGTTAAGTTGGGGCCCCAACATAACCTAATTCGACCCAATTTTTACATAAAAACTAGTATAAATTGATTATAAATTATGCACCAGTATTATCTAATACCACTTATACTATCTTTCTATATTGATTTTAGCCTATTATATTATATAAAATAGGTATTTATAGCTATATATTATATAATTATTATAATATTAATACTAATTTAGGAAAGTGGAGGTTTTTTTTGGTGATCTTAAAGATATATATATTTTATAGAGTGGAGATGCACCACTTTTTCTATAACCCACGTATTTTTAAGGAGATTAAACTTTTTACGATTTCTCTATTTTAAAGCTTATATATACTAATATTATATTATTCTCTTTATATATTATATATTATATACTAATATTACCATCTTTAGGTAGGTGAAAACGCCTCTAGAACATTTGTATTTTTGCATAATTTATGTTTGCACTGTTTATAACCCAAGTTGGGGCCCCGGACCCAACGCTGGGTCGGACCTTCGACCCAATACCCAACCTGGGTTGAAGAACTCGACCCAAAACCCAACCCAGGCTGGGTTGGGTCCGGGTTGGGTCCGGGTTGAGTTGGGTTATGCGGAAGTCTAGGCAAAGGTACTACAGCCCTCCTCGACCGAATTAAGGAAAAGTGGACTCAGTAACGTATTTCACTACCGAGTGGGCCACACCACCGAGTGGGCCACCCAACCACCTACTTTTAGTTTACATCTAGTTTTTTCAACCAAAACGCCTTTATATTAATTATTCTACCTAACTGGGCATGTAGGGGACTTATGCCCTTTCTCACCGCATATAGAACAGGTGTATTGACGCCGTCGCGCTGGGGCTACCGCCTGCTGAATAGGCTGGCTGGGTGCTGCTGGAGACGATGCCGAAGGCTGTATCGGAGGCTCAGGGGCTTGCGTAAGGTCCTGGGCTTCCTGGACTGATAGGCCTGCTAGCGCAGGTATATACCTATTAGGACGAGAGCGCTTTTGTCTTTTTTTCTCGTTCGCTGCGCGTAAATCACTATTTTCTTGTGCTAAGATAATAGCGCTATTCATAGCATATTGACACGCTTTTGTAAGTTGGTCGAGCGCCTGTTCAGTAGGGCTTCCAGGGCTATGTAAGCGCTGACGTAGTAGTCTTTTAATTGACGAAGCTTGTCGAAGTGTTTCAGCGACGGTTTTGGGTGTTTTAGGACTAAATATGCTTGATCGACTGCTTGGGCGGCTTCTGGGCGGCGTAGGCGTCTAAAGCTGAATATTGAGCTTTGAAAGCACTCGTTCTAGGTTGAATGGCATTAAACTAGCTGCTGCGAAGCTATTTTTAATCGTATCGGTCTTAAACGTATCCACGCGCGCTTGTGGGTATGCTGTAAGGAAATCAAATTTATCGATATGGTTGATACCGAGCCGCATTTGGTTCTCAATAAGCCGACCGTAGGATCGCTTTAAAACCGCAAAACACCCAATATCAAGCGGCTATAAGAGATGCGAGGAATGTGGCGGCATACAGATTAGGATTATATCAGTTTCTGCGCAAATTTGGTCGAACTGCGGTGTTAAATGACTACCGTGGCCATCGAGTACTAGAAGTCGATATCTTCCTTGCGTACGGCTATTCGTTGACGGAATAAATAGCTTTTGAAGCCATCGAAGGCTAATCTCGTCTATCGTCTATCCATTTTGACTAACTTCAAAGCGCCAATCTCTCGGAAGGTCATTAGCCCAAGCTAGATTGTGTAGTTTGCCCTTAAAGATAATCGTTGGCGGGAGCGCCCACCCAGCAGCGCTAATTGACTCGATTGTAGTTACCTACTCTCGATTCCCTAGCTGTAAAACCGATCTCCGACCGTAGTATTCCGCGCGAGTAATGACTTTCGCGGTCGCAGTAAGGCCCATCGCGAAGCCTGTCTCGTCAAAATTATAAATATCCGCTGGTAGGATACCGTGCTCAGAAATTATCCGCTGAACAGTGTCAAACCACCCCTGAATAACCTTTAGATCCTCTTGTTTTGCTCGCTGATAGTCGTATCGTCGTGAAAAGCGTGATTTAAGGTCAGGATGTCGGTTTACAAATTTTGTAACCCAGTTTTCGCCGACGGTTTGGATAGAGGTCGAGCCTCGCTTAAGAAGTAGGAGATTCGCCATTTCGCGCACTGTAGAGGGCCTTGGAGCTGCTCCACGCGTATCTATAGATAATATCCACTGCTTAAGCGAATCCTCTTCGATTTGGGTCAATTTATAGCCATTGGCGCGAGATTCAACGCGATTTGTAGTACCGCGTAGTTGGCGCTGGAGGGTAGAACGAGGGACTTAGAATCGGTTTGCTGCGTCGCGTATAGAGCCGATTTCTTTGTTTTTAATAGCTTATATAGCTAATAAAAGGCGGCCCTCCTGTTCGATAGACTTTCGGCCTGTTTGCGAGCGATTTGGTGGCATGGTGGTTGGTAGAAAATAGAAGGACGCGTGTGGACGCGAAAAAGTGGTTGGGTGGCCCACTCGGTGGTGTGGCCCACTCGGTAGTGAAATACGTTAAGTCGAATTTGGTATGATTCTCCTTACCTAAGACACACCTAAGCTGATAAATATACAACCAAGGTTCTACTGCTTCATTCGAAAAGACCTAAACAACGAATATCGTCGTATATCGATCCCAATTCTATATAACTTCCTTAAATGGACTCTTAATCTACGACGGGGCAAGAATAGGCGAAGGCTTCCAGGAATTAAGTGCAAAAGCTCCTTAGATATATTCTAGAAGGTCTCTCGGCTCGTGTATAAAAGGTCCACTACTAACAAGATCGGGAATCAGATAAACCGGAGGATGCGTCGGGTATAAAAGGCCTTTCTACTACCACTCAGCTATATAGGCTTTTTTGAAGGCTGACCTAACTCGAATTTAGGTGATTCGACGATTGGCAAAGAAGTATAAACTATTAATTAAAGGGCGAGAAAAGCCTCCTATAGATATAGAGGACTTAGCAAAGGTGGTTAAGACCACCGTAAGCACAACAAAGAAGAAGTTTGGCTATAGTCGCCACCGTATTGAACTTAGGCTATTTTTACAGCTCGTAGGTCTCACAACGAATCGTCCTTAAGCCATACTCGATCTACGATATTGTCACATCTAAGTCAGTCTTTTACGTGACCCACAAGGCGGTCCGCACCGTATTATTATCGAGTTCACCTTCGAATTCACCAAGGAGTGGCTAGGGGCTAAAGACGCGTAAGTCATTTAATATCTAAGTCCTTCTCTTCATCCTGACACTTTGCTAGGAATATATATATTCTACCCAAGATCATTTTTAATCCTTCCTTAGTCCTAAGTCCGCATATCTTCCTATTAGGTCTTCTTTTTGTAGATCGAGCATTTAATCGTGTAGATAGGGAAGAAGTATTTATATCTACAAACCAACTTCCTCGACTTCGAATTCGTGACCAATGTAATAAGCTACGACTACAACTTAACCCAATAATAGATAATATATCGGTATTCCGGATATCCGAACGAAGTTTGAATAGAATCGGTATCTCCCCTTGCAATGCTCTTCCTTATTCAACTATAGAGCCATAAGTAAAACGAATAGGTGTTATTACAAGCATTAAATAGGTCACACGCCCATATAGCTTGCGATATAGGGCGGGGTCGGCGTTAGATAGTAGTGGTGAGTATTTCGTTTAATTGAAGGATTTAAAGGGCTAACTATACTCTAGCCTCTATCAGTGATTCTTTACGAAATTTGGTGATGCATTATGCCGATACTCGCACTTTCTTAAAGTTCTATCTTAGTAGAAGGATCTCCAAAAATCTACTAGCAATCATCCGTGGCCTCGATCCAGAAGAGGATATTATACGTACGGCTTGCTAGATAAGCTAGACTATTAATCTAGACCGTCCACAAGAGTTAACGACCGAGCAATCTATATCTATAAACCAGCTCCTAGAGATTACAGCCGTGATACGTTAGCGTGATAACATCGCTCGATCCCTAGGGCGCCCTTTATCACGGAATAAAGGAACGCCCATATATAAGATATACAGAAAACTAAACCAGGAGTTAGTCGGCGCCAAGAAGCGTGCGCAGGACACCCTTCTTTTGCAGATACAAAGTAAATACGATAGAGAGCAGCCAATGCTAGAGATAAAGCGCTAGCTTTCCAGGATTGAGCCAGCTAATTCGAGCAAGAAACCGCTAGAATGCTCCACTAAAGTTCCGATTCCGCAGCAACGACTTATCAAGAGTCTCTTAACTTTGCCTCGGACAACGTTAGAAGAGGAGATAGCTCGGAGAACAGAAGCAATCGATGCAGTGGCTACTTATTGTCAGTTCGAAGAGGGAGACACTTATCGCTTGCCACGAAATAAACGGAGTGAGAATAGAGTGGTCGAGACTGAGGTTGTTGACGATAAATGTTTAGAGAGCGGGGGCGAAGCAGTGCTCTCTCAACCGAAAACGCCATTTGAGTCTGCGCTTCGATCCATTATGAATGACCATCGTCCTCTTTTCTGCTTTATTTGTTTAGGTCAACAAGGCCTAGACGTTACGAAACGAATTCAAAAATTCCACTCACACGCGGATGTGACAAAACATATTAAGCGGAAACATTTGGGAAACCTCACTTCAAGCACGATAATCACATACAATATTTGCGATGAGAAGTTCTCCGAACCCATACACCTTCATGGACACGCATTTAATCTTCATAAGACTTTGACTGGGCCTCTGGTTCAGTTAGACAGCTGCGTTGGTGCTCGATAAAATTACTCGGAGCTTGACGTCTCAGCACTGGTTACTTCTGCCAATGAGCCCAGAATCAGGGCAAGATCCTCGAGCTCGTTTTGAAGCCCGTGTAGAGCTCTATCGCGATCTTTGAAGCGTTTGACAGTTTCGCAGAGCGACTGCGTTGACTGAATGGCAGATATAGTAACAGCAATCACGGAGGCAGCGATGCTCAGAGGATCCGCCATTTCGGACGGTCGGGAAAATATTGCTTCGATTCCCTGGGTAAAGCCGTAGCAGATGTGAATGTAAATTTAGATTCTACAGTATGTGTGTGTGGAATCATTTACCCTGACCCCTCGCGAACGATATGCAGGATACGACAACTATATATCTCTGGCTATGTACATGTAGGGTGATCCACTTCCTGACAGAAACTTAGAGCCTCGTCACGGCCTATCGTGGCCCATTGCCGCTCCCATTGTTAGGCTGCCCTTATGGCGCACGGCTGCGAAACCGCTGTGACGCCTCGGCGAAGTCCAATACGGCCTGGACCGTCTTCGCCCTCGAGCCAAGAGACATTAAGTAGCTTCGGCAGGCCTACTTGCATAGACCACTACCCCAGTTTTTCACCCAATAAACAAGGCTTCTAGACTTTTGAGGTGGACAAAGCCTCTCACCCTGGGTGTCTCTCAGTTTGCTCCTTAAGCACACATCACGGGCTGTTCAACTAGGACGACACCGCTTCAACCGATCAAGACCGGTTTCAGGCCCTCAGTGCGAGTGAGGTAGTTGAGTCCTGGCTCTTTGTGCACCGACACGCGCATCCGTCCTCTCGGCCACTCTCCACTAACCAAGCTTGTTCCCCGATGTCTGAGCAGGATCGATGGTTTGCCCGTGGCAACGCCTTAACGAGGTCCATCGTTTGCCACCAGCCAAATACTAATACCTTCCAGAATGCCCGTGTATCTCCCAGGAGGATGCCCGTGTCTCGGTGGTGTCCGTGTCAAGAAGAGGAACCGCATTAAAGGTTACCCGTAGTTAGGCCTTAACGAGGTTTTCCGAGGTGGTATCTTCGAGCCTTAACGAGTTCGAGTCTTAACGAGGTCTCCTGGGCCTTGAACGAGGTCTGTCCGATATTAGCTTGACTGCCTATGTCACCGGTTCACTGCCGCCTCGCCGCATCTCCCACGATGCGATCCCAGACCGTATGCAAGCTCAGGGGTGTCCTGTCTTCTTTCTAGGGCGACACCACTTCCACTGGTTATGCAAGACCAGCTTTTAGGCCCGAGTGCGAGTCGGGTAAAAAGAAGTCGGATGGTTTTCGTATCCCGTTGTCCACTGATTTCGGTGTGGTTGTGCGGTCGCTTCCCGCACCGGGCCGGACCGGACCGCACAACCACGGTGGATTCAATTTGGTCTCCCCAACGAGGATTAACACCGGACACCACGAGAAGGTATGAATCCATTGTCCCAGCAGCCTGGCTAGGACTGCTGCCCAGTGCGAGCTCACTGGGGGCAGATTCTACAGTAGTATTCGAAATCAGATTTACCTCTACACTCTTAGACTTTCAATCCCGAACCCTAGCCTGAAACACGCTAGTCTAATTTTAGCCGTTCCCCAGTAATCCCTGTTAGACCGTAAAGAGCAGCTAGGCTCAAAAAGGCAATACAAGGGCGAATGAGCAGCGTGCGTGGCAGTAGAGTTCCAACGTAGATAAGCTGCTTGGGTTTGCGGACGCGCACGCACAAGCACGTTGATTAGTTCCCTTTCTCTCACTACGTTCGTTTCAGGGCCGATGCGCGCAACGCGCGCGTCTTGCCCTGAAACGATGACGATCGGGAAGGATATGAAAGACAGTTGAACGATGAGCTTCAACCCAAATTGGATGTTGATGAAGCTTTACGAATGAGGCAGGCAGAAGTGATCGACTATTAATGAAGGACAGAGGTAATTTTACGTAGAAAGCATCCTATATCATTTTCCAATTTACGATACAACGTGCATTAAAAAACATATCTAGCCTCATATAGCGGCATTCGTCTTCGCCTCCTTTAACCTCTTATCTTCCCGTTCGCTAAAGCGATCACCAAAAAGCCCGATATGAGGGCGCATCAGAATCGTGTATTTGATAAATTCCTCCATGCAATCTACCAGACGATCTCGGTTGCCACTAGGCATGAGTCGCAGATCTTCCGGTTGACCTTCATCCGGAAATTGTGTATATGCTCTGGGGATCGAGGATTGATTCGGGATAGTAAACATGCGCATCCACCGACCAAGGATCCGCAGAGAGTTGACGGCATTGAATGATTGGGATCCACCGCAAACCTGGGCAATGGCTAGTGTTCGGCCCTGGGTGGGACGAACACTTCCAGTAGTCAAAGGAATCCAATCAATCTGGTTTTTGAAAACAGCGGTCTAGAATTGTGAAAAACCAAGTAAGTAATTATTGTGCCTAGTGTTAGAATAATCGTCATAGAGAGGCAACTCACCAGATTGCCGTGCTGTTCAGGCGAGACCCAGACATGACCATCACTCCAATGGCTGAGCTCTCGGAGTTCCAGTACTTTTGAGTGGCTTGTATCGCTATCATTCTTGATTGGCAGACCTTCCGGATCAAAAACGCGCACATCACAGCCGAGTCGGAACAGGATGCGGGAGGCTTCAAATGCGACGAGCCGTGAATATGACCTTTTCCGAAGGCTTCCATAAAGTACTATAACTCTCAGCCTCTTATTTGTAATCCTCAGGTTATGCTCGGCCATGTCTAGAGCTGTGGCCAGTTCTAAGTTGTTGACCCAGTCCTCAGTCGCATTGCCGCCAAGAATGAATGGCCGGTACTTCTGGCGGATATCCGGGTCGTCTTCACTCGGACGGATTGCTAAAGATCCATAAAAGGCATCGGTTTGGCGGGCATCTGAAATCACTTGCTGAGGGCTAGCGGAATGCATCCTTTTTGAATATATCGGTCGCAGTAGAAAGGGTCCCCAAGAAATTGCCGACCTAGATGAACGGAGGAATCTTTGCATAGAATGATAAAGCATACGTTTTCGATAGGTGGCGAAGGTAAACGAGATCAAAACCATCAGCCAGAAAATTCATTCTTGTGCAAATTGCATGGAGGCAGTATGTCACCGGCGAATAATGATTGGACAGGATATAGCAATGTAGCCAGTGGGTCTTCCGGGGCTCGCAGAATATTTTGTTACGCTACGCAGGATCATGTTATTGGCTGAGCATTTTGGTGCTGATTAGTAAGAACGATGACTAACTAATATGGATTTCCGCCGAGTCCGTTACCTCGGCCATCCCTTTGGACCAAAAGAATCCAACTGAACCTTCCCAACTCGTACCCTCGCAGTGGTGTATTACCATTCCCTAGCACAAAAATGGAGTTCAAAAGCCCCGAAACATGAAGAAGGGTCATGCGACATCAGCAGCAGCTCGAACTCGCGAAAACCAACGGCGTTCTCGCACGCGGCGCAAGGAGTACGTCCATAACCTTTATTAGCGCAGAACGCTAGAGAAGGATCAAAGGAGACTCGCACGAGGCGAAGAAAATAGACAGAAGCACACCATTATTGGTGGGCAGGGAAAACAAAGCGAACAGAAAGCAATTGTATTGTGGTTATGGAGAGAAGAGAAGAAGGAAAGCAAGAAGAACAAGAGGCAAGCACTGATCTTGGCAACAGAGAACATTACCTGACCTCTCAACAACCTTGAGCAACGATTACGGTCATTCTAAGGATTGGCCTAGCGGTGACACAGGATATTCAAAAAGCGGGAAGAAACGTCGCAAAAGAGAATGATCTACTCCCTGCTAACGCTCCATGGTGTCACCGAAACATTAATTGAAGAATACTTAAAATGGCGAAGATACCCAACAAGCTCTACTCCAAATTAATACACGCAGTGGCGTCTTTAGCATCAGCAAAGCTGCACTCGCCGACTGCCCCACACCAATCTCCTAGACATTACCACCATTCACTGGCAACCCTGTCTTATTGGGATTCGGACCACCGCCACGTCAGCTTCGACCTACGGGCTAAAAATTCAATGCCAAAGTCAGTTAAGGAGACCCGCATATATATACTCCCGCAGCAATTTGATGCAAATCAAGCAGCCAAGGTCAATCCCGCACAGCGGAAATACCCCTCAATCACATCAGTTTGCTAGTCTTCAGGATAGAGGTCATTTCACGTCATGCGTAACTGCAGCAAGAATTATCGAAAATATACAGATCGTTCAGACTTCTTGACGTTCGATCTGAACTCGGATGCAGCTCGGAATCAACTTGTGTGTGAAGAATATGTCGATTTTCGACATTCTGGGCAAATAATAGGTATATATCTAGAAATTTTCCGGTCGGCATATCTTGGAACTATTTCTATTACTCACAATTCTCAAGCCTGACAATCTATCCTGCAATCATCCGGCGCACATATTCCAGAAGCTATTTTCCTTTCCTTGTAACGGCAAATAAAGGTTCGGCAGCCAACCACTTGCGCTTTGGCTGCTGAGGTTTCGAGCGTTTTTTGGATCTGGTCGCGCATCCAGGATGTCTCTGTACTTTTTCAGCGTTTTTATTACAATTGGGCTCCCTTGTTCCAACATTCCACATTGTCACATCCCGTTCAGAATACCAAGATCGGATACCGGTTGTAAATGGTTACTGGCATTTACACCACATATCATCTTTCTCATCTATACTGTTATAAAGCAATCTATGAAGAGACTGTGTGAAGAGGTAAATAGGACTGACGCCCTGTACTGAGGGGTCCTATCTTTACTTTGACTTTACGGATATGTTTCTGCATCCATGCTCTCATACAATCCAAATTTCAGAACATCAGTAACACAAATATTCCATGATTCCAATCCATATTGCGAGACAAAAGCTGACGCACTAAAAGTGATATCAAAGCTGCGAGATCTTAAGTCATAAGTAGTGCAGAACGTTGGAAATGGCAGCTATGCAACCTTTCATTATCGTCGACACATGCTGAAGACTGCCACCTCATTAACGGACTCGGGGCTTAAATATAGGACGCTCAAATAGTCGAATTTTGAGACCGGAGCTCAGTGATAAGTTTCTCAACACGTTGACGGATTTCGTGACGAATAGCTCTCACAGCGTCTAAGCCTTGCCCGGCGGGGTCATCAAGTTGCCAGTCGAGATAGCGCTTGCCAGGGAAGAATGGGCAAACATCCCCACATCCCATAGTAATCACAACATCGCTGGCTTGCACTGCATCCGCAGTTAGGATCTTGGGGTTTTGGTTGCTGAGGTCGATTCCTTCTTCACGCATGGCCTCGACGACGGCAGGATTGATAGACTCGGCAGGGGCCGATCCGGCGGAGCGAACTTCAATGGTGTCACCTGCAAGATTACAAAGGAAACCGGCAGCCATTTGGGAGCGTCCGGCGTTATGAACGCAGACAAATAAGACACTTGGCTTAATAGCCATGATGGGCATGCCTCTCTAGTAATGGGTGGAGTAGTCCTGGCGAGTAGCTAGTTGAATATGAGGATTGGTGGATGTGAATATTTGGTGTCTTCAAGGTATATTAGGAATGGAAGAAAAATGGAGATGGCGATGCCCCAATATTTGTACGCTGACTATTCTTGGAATATATACCACGTGTTAGCTGGAAAAGGAGAAGAATTAGTAACTCGTTGATCTAGAACATTCTTTCGTGCAGCGGCGTTGTCCCACAAGTCAATAGCGTTCGACGAGGGTCTTTTTGTGAGCCGTAGTCGTTGTACATGCCGAAACCGCATTCAGACTGAGCATACATTGCCGTAGTCAAAACTACCGTCTGATCAATTTATCAGGCGTCCATTACTGAAAAGCTTGCGTTAGCAGCTGGTGAAACGATTGTATTATGAGCCACAGAAGAACAGTCAATGGAAACTACCATGGTCAGTGCTTACCTCTGCATAGCAATCCGTATGTCACTCGGACACTATCATTGGTTAAGGGTTTTTGAAGAGAGCGCAGCGTTTTTTATCACTGACAAATCACAAGCCTAGAGCATTGCCGCTATGTCACTCCTTGATTATGATTGGTCGACTCTGGCAGACTGTCATGCGCCCGGTGTGATTGGCTATCACGAATCATCAGTCTTACTGTATCAGGACTAGGGTAAATTCTCTCTTTCAAGACGATCTCCAGGTTCTGCATATTTAAGAGACTACTCCGCTCAGTTGATGCCACTCTAACCACCCTTACTATTGAATTTCTCAATATTTTCTTTATCCGACAAAGGACGTTCGCAGGTGAAGCATTTTATGCATTGAATCTGCTGATCCTAGCCATGGCTAGCGGAATTCCTCAGGCAAATCTGCCCGTGCAGGCCGAACCGCAACCTCACAACACAACGTTGGATAATCAGTCAACAAATTCCAAGACCAAGGATGTTGAAAAACAAAGTACAAACGAAACCGAGGAGTCCACGGTCAAGCAATCAGCCTTCAAAGGGCTTGGCTGGTTAGATCGTTTTTTGGCTCTATGGATCTTTCTAGCCATGGCAATCGGAATCATACTGGGAAATTTTGTGGAGAATACGGGACCTGCCCTTCAGAAGGGAAAATTCGTCGGCGTGTCTATTCCGATCGGTATGTACTCAAGAAATCTACAACAATACAGTCTCGAACTAAACGATACCAGCTATTGGTCTCTTGGTCATGATGTATCCCATACTTTGCAAAGTGCGATACGAATCTTTACACCACGTCTTCCGAGAGCGTGGTATCTGGATCCAGATTGCATTTAGTATCTTTGTTAATTGGATTATTGCGCCTTTCTTAATGGTGAGTATTTCTCGACTCATCAAGGTGGAACTTGCTAACGTTAGACTTCCTTAGCTCGCACTGGCATGGGCATTCCTACCAGACGAACCGGAACTTCGGGAAGGTTTGATTTTAGTTGGATTGGCCAGATGCATTGCTATGGTACATTACCATTTCCCTATAGTATGCCCGAACTGGACTAATTTATCATTGCTAATAGGTTCTCATATGGACCGGTCTCGCTGGTGGCGACAGTGAATACTGCGCTATTCTTGTTGCGGTTAACTCACTGCTGCAAATGGTGCTTTACGCCCCCTTAGCCATTTTCTTCATTAAGGTCATCGGTCACTCTGGAAGCCAAGTTACACTGTCTTACTCCACTGCTGCCAAAAGCGTGGCTGTTTTCCTTGGTATCCCTCTTGGTGCTGCAATTATCACGCGCATTACCCTTCGAAAGATCACCAGCCCACGTTGGTACGACCAGGTTTTCCTGAAGTGGGCTAGCCCGTGGTCACTTCTGGGGCTCCTCTTCACGATTCTCGTGTTATTCGCATCCCAGGGCCGGCAGGTGGTGCATCAAATTGTATCGGTGGTCCGAGTAGCTGCTCCGCTTATTGTTTATTTCATCATTGTCTTCTTCGTCACCCTTCTAGTGACCTACAAGCTCGGGTTTGGTTACAAGCTGGCCGCCACTCAGAGTTTCACCGCTGCCAGCAATAATTTCGAGCTTGCGATCGCTGTCGCTGTCGCAACGTTTGGTGCCAACAGCAATCAAGCGCTTGCCTCTACTGTGGGGCCGTTGATTGAGGTCCCGGTACTGCTTGGCCTCGTCTATGTTGTCAAATTTATAGCCAAACGAGTTGGCTGGAAGGATTAAATGAGAAGAGGAGAATTTCCCGTTCTCGGCTTAATTGGCTCTCGGGGCCCTCTCCTTTCGTTTGTTATTGGTGACTACCTTGGTGGCGTTCACGGATTAATATTGAAGAGGCTAGAGCCTCGGGGCATGCGTATACTATCGGTAATACATTAGGAATCAATATTAGCCATTATTGCATGAACAAAACTTCATTTAAGCTATACGATAGTAAGGGAGATAAGGAGTGGTTCTTAATCTCGATAATCTTGGAGAACCCCAGTGGTTCTTCTGTTTGTCCTTGCGAATGATAAATCAAGCACCATCCCTGTAAATACCAACCGCACGTCTGTTCCCTTAAAATTGTGGGTTATGGGTGGGGGCTTAGATATATCCATGACAAATAGGCTTGGCAGAGACATTCCGGTGCATGCTAGTGACATACCAGAAAGTTTCGATCGCCCAATCAGAGGAAACTATGTGCCGCCTGGCCCCATAACGAGTTAGAGATGACGTCGCTAAATAGGCTCCTGATAACTCTTGTAGTATATATTTAGGCTTGGTCTCTCCCCATTACGACTCTGAAAAAAATCATTTATACCATCTTCACTTAACCGGCAGACGAGTCTTTTTTCGCCGTGCTGAAACAGAAAGTTCGTCAGAATGAATTCAGAAGATACCTATCGATGTGTGCAAAACCGCTACGCTGGAGTTGCGAGGCAGACGGACGACGCTCATAAACCGGGAGACCATGAACGTAAAGTCGCAAGGGCGTTTGGGTATGATCTAGAGGATCTGCGTTCTATTCCAGGAAACGCGAATTTAGGTGTCAGCTGTGGGAATCCATTAGCGACGGCAAACATAGGTCTGGTAAGTACTGTCACCGGTCGCTCCTTGGCGCTGATTTTGATATCCATATAGGGCGAGGTTGTGATTGATTTGGGTAGTGGCGGAGGCATTGACGTTTTGCTAGCGGCAAAGAAGGTTGGAGGGGAAGGAAAAGCCATTGGTATTGATATGACCAAGGTATGCGGATCACTTCCTTCCCATCTGATTTACTTCTTGCTTAAAGCTAGCAGGACATGCTGGAATTATCACGTCGGAACGCAAGGAACGCCGGTGCCAACAATGCATCGTTCATAGAAGCGTTCATTACTTCTATACCGTTACCATCGTCCACCGCTGATTGCATCATCAGTAATTGTGTGGTGAACCTAGTGCCGGAAGTTGAAAAGCCTTTGGTCTTTCAGGAAATGTTCCGTCTACTGAAGCCGGGAGGTAGGGTTGCCATCAGCGACATCCTGGCAAAACGAGAGCTTCCGATGGGGATCAAGAAGGATCTCTCCTTATATGTTGGCTGTATAGCTGGTGCTAGCCAGGTTGCCGATTACGAAAGATATCTAAATGAAGCAGGGTTCCAAGGTAATCATACTGTATTTTTGGGGTCTTCCTCATTCGTTTCTTACTGACATAGCTTATAGATGCAGTGATTTTGGACGCTAATGCCGATCTCAATATTTACAAGGAAATGTGGAAGCAGGAGGAAGCCAATGAGCCGGGTCCTACGGGCCCATCCTGTGATACGATGAACAACGGTATTAGCGGGGAGATAAACAATCTGCCGGAGGTTGATCTCAACATCTGGACTGGTGAGTTGACCTTCACAAGAACCTAGTATCGACGCACAACTGATAAATTCCGTATTTAAAAGGCTCATTCAAAATCTTTGCCGTCAAGCCCGACACCCATGACTGAACATTCCGTGAATCGAATCCCAGCACACACAAGACTTCAGGTCTCATGAGGATAGCACTGTTCAATATAGCTGGTGTAGCGCTGGGAACTAGGTAACTTTCAGCTAAGTGAGTTGAGGATTTTGATATTCATGCTACATAGGTTATCACTCTGCTTTGCATCGGGTTCAATATGGACTTTCTTATGTTATAATTGTGGATGAGAAAGAACGATAGGGCCGCATTACGTCCAATCATTCAAGTTAGAATAATTTATAATACCTCAGCTAGTTTAACATGATCCGGAAGTATTTCCTGGTCTCGACATACGTCGAAGCCCGTGGTAGAGTGTGACATTAAGCTATTCTTTGTGCGGAAGTTCCTTTAAATAAGGCAGGAACGCTGACTTTCATCAGACTGGCCGGGGGATATGATGATAAAGAAACTAGCCAAGAGAGCAGTGCCTTTGTTTATTTCTGCCACTACGCTGTTCAGGTTCATCAGTGACAAAATGAATAATCCGAAAAATCGTCTGAGAGCTATAGATGCTGACTAGCCTAGCTATACGTTGAAGATGGACAGCATATACAGGGCAGTGTTAAGTCAACTTCTTGCAGGCCAGTATGAACGAGAGACACGGTAGCTACTGGAAGAATGGAGGACGTTGTTGGCCTTGATATTTTCTGCTACTCCACTCATGGGAAATACTTGATCGACTTGAACATCGAGCAAATTGGAATACAAACTCATTTGGATTTACTTCACACAGGGTGCCATCTTCATCTCAAGTTGCATAGGTACGCACGCGGTGATGTGATGGGGGCAATTTGTCAGCTACTTGTGTATAAAAATCCAAGTCCAATAATTTTGAGTCTCTACTTGCGTATTTGTGTCACTTATCGAGTACATCGAAGATTGACATATTCTTCACCATGCAATTGGATTCGGAGTCACATCCAAGTTCGAATCGCAGATCATGGATATCTGGATTGTCTCGCAGGCTTGCTATAATTCTGGCAGCATCCTCGCAAGATGTGAGTTGCCCTATATCCCGGGCGCCGCCAAGATCTTGCGCTTCGGACACGGTTTCGTGTGCGTCAGGACTGAGTGTTACTGGTCGCCCTACACTCGGGTCTTGCATATTGAGACCGATATATCCTCTTGTGCCTGATCTTGATGGAGGACATTGAGTCCTGGCAGTATCAAGCTCAGGTTGCGAGCTATTTAACTCTAGCTTAGGAGCTGTGCGTGTATGGCGACAATTCATAAGAGGATCATTTGGTACCACCGTCGAGTGTAAAGTTGTTGGTTGTGAGGAAGTTGTTGGTTGTGAGGAAGTTGTTGGTTGTGAGGAAGTTGTTGGTTGTGAGGAAGTTGTTGGTTGTGAGGAAGTTGTTGGTTGTGAGGAAGTTGTTGGTTGTGAGGAAGTTGTTGGTTGTGAGGAAGTTGTTGGTTGTGAGGAAGTTGTTGGTTGTGAGGAAGTTGTCGATGGAATATAGGTTGCCTGCTGTTTTAGGTATTTTTCAATTTCTTCTTTTGAGACGCCGAGAAGTATCAGCAGTGATCGAAGAAGGGCATTCTCTTTCGCAACTTTTCTCCCTGCCTGTTGAACTTCTTGCGACGCAGCTACACCAAGTCTTTGGAATGACCGTAGCTGTTCCTCAAGGTGCTGGGTGTACTCCTTGCGTCGTGCGCGAGAACGCCGCTGGTTTTCGCGGATTCGAGCCGACGCGGTCGGGAGACGCTCTTTCATATTTCCAGTGTTCCTTCTCTTTATGTACGTCAGGATTAGGGAACAATATCCTCCGTAGGTACGTACGACTATAGATAAGACTGAAGAAAATTGTCGCTTCTCGAATCGATCCGGGTGGCGAGTATGTGAATTTCAAGCTGCCTCCAGCACGGGAGAACAGTACGCAAGGGTTTGATAACATAATCTACGACCATTCCGCATTAATCGTCATCCTCCGCAGACCCGCATCCAATCATCATTCGCTGGTGACACACTACCGTCTGTACTTGTCAAGAACTTTTTTCTCTTCTAGCAAGAGGCGAAATACTTTGTCCAAATAGACGTAGCGCACTTTTCTATTAATATTGGTATTCTAATGTAGCCGCGGCCCACCACTTGAAACCTCATTTAAAGACAGCGCTCTTAGGAATAGACTTTGTCTAGCCTATCGAGATTACCTATACGTGAGCTGGTGAGCTGGGGTTGGAATCATCGATCTTGAAGCCCTCACACCTAGCGACGAGATGCTGGTAGTAGTCAACTAGCACCTCTGGCTCTGGAACAATTTTCCATTCTAACTTGAACAAAAAGTCAAGCTCTAACATTGCCAACTCGGTCGTGCTGATTCCCCCTATTCGAGCATATGTCTTGTTGGTCCAAAAGCTATCACTCAGGGCTTTGCTGGCGACTGTCGCACTAACAACTAGGAATCGATGGATCGACAGACTGGAAACAGTGAAAGCAGGATATAATATGCAGAGCCGATCAAGGTAATAGACCATGCTGAGAAGAATCGACGGCGATAGTTGAGCATATGTAGTCAGCCGCTGAAGGTAATCGTGCACAGAAACTTCGGGTGGGGAACAAGAGTGAAATCTAATCCGCTGACCATGGTGTGGCGGCATCTGCTCGTTGAACTGAATCAATTCCATAATCATGCTTGAGATGAGCACTACTAAATCATAGGGCTCAGCCGATTCGTAGTTCGCAGGCAACACTTTGACCTCAGGTTTGAAAGACCATAGTCGCCAGGACTGCATAGCCCTTAGTTTCAAATATAACACTCGGCGAGTAGAGGTCGCCTTGGTGTTTGCACTTGTTGTATTCTGCGATGAGGACAGGCATAGAGGAGAGCGAGCATATAAGAAGTAACGGGCACTACGCAGAGGGTGTCATCGCAGTAATGGCATTAGTAGCTGCAGAACAATCGCTTACAAGATCGTGGTGTGGTAAGGCCAAAGATATTCAAAACGCATTCGGATTGTTGTGTGAATAGCTGAACGGGGATCCAAGTAGTAGCTCACTGATCAGGCCAGATGAGGAATGACAGATGGATCATCGAGCGTCGTTTGCAGGTTAATGTCATAAATGGGAACCTGCGGGTGTTAAAACGTGAAAAAAGCCCGGTCTTTTGGTGGACGTTGAGACCTTTGCTGGGCAAATCGACTTTGACGTCTTGGATTATAAATGAAACACTCCTGACTCTATTGCGACACGCCAGAAAAGGTTGACGGGCAGAGAGGCTTTAAACTAACACAATAGTTAGGATCGACTGGATCGCCATATTAATAATATCTTTTCTATCCGAGAAGATGTTAAGTTGGGGAATGTTTGAGATAACCAATTATCTTGCGGCCGTGACATATAAGACTTTTGTAGCCTGTATGCCTTAATTTGTAACAAAATTTCACATTCTCTGTTTAATAAGCAACGGTTTGTAACTAACGTAACTAGTTATTAACTAAGGGTTGTAAGTCTTGACCAAGGTCAATATGCATTATCCTGCCCAAGATATTACTCCGAGGCTATATAATTCATGCCTTAGGAAGTAGCGCACTTATAGTCTGCTTTTTCAAGCGAAGGTTTTCCTTACTTAGAATTTGGCGCTACTATCATCAGGTCAATCAATAACCCCATAAGAAAACGGCAATTATGCATTACCATACTAAAGCCTAGTCTCCCCCTTTCGAAGCACATATCCACTTCTTGCGCCGAGTCTGCCCAAAACTAGAGTCTCCAGAGTCTCGGTTTTACCACCCCGGAATTTTTTCCCCGCGTTGCCCCGCTGGATGGATGGAATCCAGAACTGCGTTACCACAGCCCCTAAGATCATAGTAACACTGAAGATGAGAAGTGCCAAGTCATGGCGCCTGGTTTGGGCGTCATCGGAACCAGTTCCAAGTTCAGAATAAGCAGAGAATATCTCGGCGAGAATAGAGCCAAAAAAAGACGTCCAGTTTATTCAATTCTTTTAGTGAGAACCTAATCTTCGAATGATAAAAGAATAATTATAGAATATAATCCAGGTCTAATTAACCCTGGTAATGTGCAATCTGTGTTTACAGATCAACCCGTGTTGTCAGCCCCGGGGCACCAGTATTCCAGTTTAGAGCAATAGATAGTCACACAAGTATACCGTGACCAGAACATAACCTACAATAATTCTTCGCGATCCTATCACGGGTTGCCGCTGAGTGCATACTTCAAGAACGGTCAACGTAGGGCAATCTTTCCATTACTGAACATAAACTTGCAAACTTCATTGGAATCAAATTTTTTTGCACCAACCTGTTTTTGACTGGTCCATGCTCGCTATGTGGAAGTGGAGAAGCGTGCGGGAGATAGCGACATGCCAAGAAACAGTGACATACCATTTTCCCAACCGGGCCAAAGATCGCAGACTATTGCGCACGTGGTTAGAGATTAATATGAAATTAAGATAATCAATTTTTGTGAAATATCAGACAGTCTCAATATCCCCAACAGATACTGTACAGGCTTAGTTAGAACTTATGCTAAAACCAAAATTGAGGAAAGCCTTAGACTCAACCACTTCTGTACAGATGTCCTTTCTTTGCGACACCATTTGGAATCAATGTCACCTTCTGAAATCTCACCACCACCGGACGGTGGATATGGTTGGGTATGTGTGGCTTCATGCTTTTCCATCAACTGCTTCACTTGGGGCGCGGTCGCGGTGCGTTGTTTGCCTCAAAATATGAAGCCTTGTCTGCGGCAACTCAGCTTACGCTCTTCAACAGTCATACGGCGTGTACCTTTCTCATTACCTTTCGGATACCAATTTCCCAGAGGCAAAACCTATTGATTTTGCTCTGATTGGTGGGTTCAACTTCTCTATGGCGATGTTGTCGGCCCCCGTCGTTACAATCATCGCACGAAAGTACAGCACCAAGTTACCCATGCTGCTTGGATTGGGTTTTCTGGCAACAGGATATATCACTGCATCCTTTGCAACAAGGATCTGGCAGCTTTATCTATCACAGGGGGTTTTAGTCGGCTTCGGGGTTGGTTTTGTCTACATCCCAAGTATTGCCATAATTTCCCAGTGGTTTGATAAGAAAAGGAGCCTTGCCAATGGCATCAGTGCGGCCGGATCGGGAATTGGCGGTTTGATGTTTTCGCTCGTGGATGGTACAGTGATGCAAAATATATCTTATGCTTGGGCTCTACGATTGACAGCCATTCTAAGCTGTTCTATCCTATTGATTGCCACCTTATTGATTCGAGACCGCAACAACGCTATACAACCGTCGGGACGTGGATTTGACATTAAACTTCTGCGCCGTACAGACGTACTTCTTTTGCTATTGTGGGCATTCATTAGCATGTTTGGCTATATTGCTCTGCTATTTTCTCTTCCAGATTATGCGCACTCTATGGGACTTTCGGATACTCAGGCTACGACTGTCAACGCAATATTGAATTTGGGAACCGCGGTTGGCAGGCCACTAATCGGCATTATAAGCGATCGGTTCGGCCGTATTGAAGTTGCTGGCCTTTTGACTTGTGCTTGCGGCATTAGTTGTTTTGCCATCTGGCTTCCCGCAACATCATATGGAGTCCTCGTCCTTTTTGCTTTCGTTAGTGGGGCTATATTTGGATCATTCTGGGTTGTAAGTTTATATAATCCATGTTAATACACATGTGCCTCTGACATTCCGAATGAACAGACCATTGGGCCTTTATGTGTTGAGATTGCTGGCCTAGAGCAGCTTCAATCGACCCTATCTTTATCTTGGACCTTTATTGTGCTTCCGACAACATGTGAGCTTTCCAAATGCCGCTTTTCGAGCACCCCTAAGCTGATATAACATAACAGTTGGTGAAGTGATAGCTCTCAACTTGCGTCGTTCCGGATCCCAAAAACCATATCTATATGTCCAAGCTTTCTGTGGTATCTGATACATTTGTGCTAGTGTGTTTTTATTACTACTTTGGTTACATCGAAAACCTTGAATAAGTATTTATTGCTAGGGACATCCTTTTTTTCTTAGATCAGCTCCTTTGCATTACATTATGACGCATCTGAAAGAACAGTAAACAACAACTGATAATCAACCCGACATCCTTCTCCCCGAGTAAGACTGTTTCGATACCCACCTTGGAGTCTGAAATGGAGGCTCAGTAAGTCCGGCTTCTTTCGCACATAGCCTATCAACAGCTCACAAGCCTCCGAACAAGAGACGGTGAGCTGAGAGGTGAGATCCGAGGTGCCAGAATTGCAGTTCATTGCGGGACATCCCAGGGCAGGCAGCTCGGAACCATTCAAGCTTGAATAGTTGTCAGCCTCCAACTCCTTTTCTGGAAAATATAGCGTTTCGGAAAATTGTGCAATACTTGTGGGTAGCGACGTGAATAAGAACTGGTCATCAAACAGGAGATTCTCATATGGGCAGCTATCTGATGTCGCTATGCTGTCTCCTCGCAATGGATTATCGTTCATAGTCACAGACTTAGAGCCCTGTACTTCGCTCATTTCCTATATTCGATAAGAAGAAATTCCAAACATAAAGAAGGCGTATAAAGGAATGAACTGACGCTAGGCATTAATTTGGATGCGAAGGTGTAGTCTGAAGACAGAAGAAGATCGAAGCCAAGTTCTGATCCTGTTCTCGCTCTGCGAGCCTCATGGCGGGGGAGGTGATTTAAACTCCGAGTTCATCGCCGACATAGATTCCACAAAGTATTTTAAGAGCTGATTTTCAACCGAGAGTAGCTCTATCTTTTTCTGCATGTCATCAAGCCGAGATTTTTGCACAGTCTCGTAATTTTGCACTTTCTGTTCCAAATTGCGAATACGCTCCTTCTGGCGCGCCCGGCAATTTCGTTGGTTGTTACGCACTCTAGCAAGGTCCTCAGCCTAGAAAAACAAGTCAGATTCGCCGGTGCTGACTCGAACTGCACACATCGTTTACCTTAGTTTTGAGTTTCATCCGAGACATTGTAGAGCGAGGGGGAATACGAAGCTTTCAAATAGGGTCCAGTGACCGACCGGATATGTCGCCTGAAGACGGAAGGAATCTCAGACTTTGTGGTTATAACGTATTTCACAAGCGAGTCGGACACCCGGTCGGCCCGGACACCCCAACCAAAACGCGTCAATTAATTAGACCATCTTTCTTCAATCAACCACCATGCCCCCAATTCGATCTCAAAATCGTCAAAATTTGACGCAACAAGAAGGACGTATCTTGCTTGCTATCCAGGCTGTCAAAAAGTAGGGAAAGTTATCAGTTCGTCAAGCAGCGCTTATATACAATGTACCGAAATCAACGCTCTATGACCGGCTCCATGGAATCGATAACCGCGTCGAATTACGCGTAAAATCGTTCAAATTAACTGAAACCGAGGAGAATTTCGCTTAAACAATGGATGATCCGCCCTGTGATAATAGGCCCCACCATATGAGGGCCCAGTGAGCCAATCCGCGTAAACCACAACGGTCTTACCTGGCATGTTTATCAGGCCACTGCGGCACCACCTCAGGCGGTGTGAGCCAATAGAATCCAGCCACAGTCTGAGAGTGGGCCTTGCCTGGCGCAGTGGACCAGTAGACCCGACCACATGTGGGTCCATCAAGCCAATCATCGTGGACCAAGATGTAGTTCCCAAGCTTGCACCGCATAATGCCCGTGCGCAAGGAAGAGTAGGCACAACGAATGTAGCCGCCGCATGGCATCAGCCAACTAAGATATTTAGAGAAGCCGCTTTACCCGTACCAAGGCGCTATTCGTGGGTGGGGGCGCTCGACGATAATCTTCCGCAGACCGACTAGCGACTCGTATTAGGATAGCCCGTTCTAGTTAGAGAGCGCATATAGTCTATGCACATCACGGGCGCATATCTTACTATCAACTTAGGAAATCTGCTACTCGGACTGCTGTCTATCCCTAAGAACTAATCAGTAAGTAATGTGTGTTACGAAAAATTCCTATGCTAACTTAGCTCGGCACTGAGCCGCCTTATCCCACAACCCTATCTATCACAATAAGCACCAGAATTTATTGATGAGGCAAACTCGTAAGGGTACGTTTTAAAGTAGGATTGATTGTCTTGCTGAACTATGGTTTAGTAAATTTACCCCTACTCGCCAACGGATTAGCGCTTAGATATATTGGATGGGAGCAACCCTCCGCTGGTATAAAGTGCCTCGTGCATCTGTGGCAATAACTCTAGCTGTATAGGCAAGCAAATATAGGCTAAAATTGGGACTCCCCAACGCGAGAGGTTTTATGACTCATAAGGCGAGTAAGCGGGTCGGCGAACTCCTAGGGTGAACATTCAATAGAGTGGCATATTATATAGTTCTGGCTCGAAAATAAATAGTCTTAGCTTACTATTCTATCTTAGATAATGTATTTCCTCTAGCCTTTCATTTTCTATCCAAAATCCAAATGTTAGATATAAGTCCTTAGAAGCTTACCTACTTCCTAGAACAATAGAAGAAACTCCGTATAGCTATTAATAAGATGGCGCCTTACGCAAAAATGATTAGTTAAGTCGAAGATATCCTGGAGGAAAGTTCAAACTCTTAAGCAAAGTTAATGGAGTCGTATATAGAGCTATAGAAGTCAAAAGCGGAGGAGGAAAGGCTCAATTGCTTAGTCTAAGGGATAATAGAGAAATTTGAATAGCGGCTTAGTTATCTTCAGGAAAGGCATAAGTCTAGTCTTTTTAAGATGAACACTAAGTTAGAGGAGGCTAAAGAAAACGTGATTGCTTCTCGCTCCGATTCTAAACAATCAACCTAGAGGTATTTATCACTAGAAAGGGAGCTCAAAGCATAGAGGCGACTAGACCTCGGCAAGGACCGGGTCCGGTCCTAAAAGTTAGGACTGGGACCGGACCATGCGGTCTTTGGTCTTTTTTCAAAGTAGCCAGGACCGCACCACGGTCCCCCGTGCGGTCCCCCGCAAATTCATAATTATGCTAAGACCTTCCTTTTCTGGCCGTATAAACCGATTATTCAGCTGCTTTTTTTACTGTTATTAAACACTGTTTTAGTATATACGCGAATATTAATAATAAATCAGGTCTACTAATTAACAAAATAGGTGAAATCACCTCGTATTTCTTTTCTTGAAGCTTCGTATTAAGTTAATTACTAATGAAGTTTGAATTTCGGATCGTTATGGTAAGTATTTTAGAATTTACTTATGAGAATGCGAAGATATATATTTATATAGTAGGAGGATATATACGTTTATAAGTGTTATATCTACTACTATCCCTACTATATTTCTGATAGCTGTTAGAATTAAGGCTATCTATAATATAGAAACTAGTGATATCCCTACTAGTTTTTCTAATAGCTATTAGAAGCTATGGCCTAGAAACTGTTGATACTCCTACTAGATTTCTGATAGCCATTAGAAAAGAAACTAGTTAGTGTGGACTAGGTTGCTTATAGGTTCTAATAAGTTCTAACGGTCTTTGCGGTCCTTATACGGTCTTTACAGTCTCCTAGCGGTCCTTACGGTCTAAGACTATAGGGATTATAGTGGGGTAGATCTTATTAGCCAATCACGGTCTATAATTTAGTTTGTTCTATCTTAAATTATTTATCTATCACTTTCTTTAATATTAGTACCCCTTATTATTTCTTTATCTAGATAAAAAGAGAATTATATATCTTTCCTATAACTCTTAAGCCCTACTACCTATCTTCTCTTTTATATTATTTATTAATATATTATAGAGCTACGTATCCTAATTCTCCGATAACTATCCCTTATCTATCTTTGAAGATAACCCTATAGATGCACTCTCCTTCCTTATATCTAATGGGCCGTTTAACCTAGACGGACACGAAACATCAACCTCTACTCCTAGTGTGACTTTCATATAGCTAGTAGTACCTATCCTGATTCCTGAAACCCTTAAGCGTATTAGGCTATATAGCGGGAAGAAGTATATCCTTTAGATAGAGATGTTTAACGAAGATTTTGTCGCCTAGTGGTTAAAAACTAAGTACGGAAGTGCAATAAAACGAAATATCTTTGAGGGTAAATGATAGGTAGGCTCTTAGGAGCACTTCCACTAGGTTGCTACGATCTCTAATAGATTCCCTAAGGTAATATATAAGTAGTGTGATTATATCCTTGCTTATCCTGCCGACCAGCATCGGGGAATATCTACTTTAAATAGGCATTTCTTATAGGCCGCTACCTATTAAAAGCGAAAGTCTAAAACGTATAATATTAGAAAGATGATCTCGAATAGGGTATGAATATTATCTATATAGCTTATTGTATACTAACTAAGATAATTATTTCTAGGTAAATCTTCCGTCTCGCAAAAAGGTCTTTTCACTAGGAGCTTAGATAGATAGGTTAACTACCTTTATTGTTGCTTTACGCCTACTATTTTAGCTCGTTAAGCACCCTAAATTTCGTGCCCTTATCGAAATAACTTCGTCTACCCTAACTATCCCTGAAATTCCTAGTGCTAGGACTATCTATTAGCATCTTTAGGAGACAGTTAGGGAATATTAGGATTCTCTCTTATAAACACTCCTAGAGGGCGCTAAGCTTTCTATAGTATTAGATTACTAGACCTCCCCTTTTCGCTAGGCTTTTATAATAATTATAGGCTACTTTATTGACCTTAAGTGGAACTACCGTGAGATCTTACTTAGCTTTAAACCTCTATATAGCTCCTATATAGGCGCTTATCTAAGTAGTGTACTACTTAAGTTACTTAAGAAGCACCAAATTACTAACCGCGTGCTTACGATCACTACTAATAATGCATCGAATAATAATATATTAGTAACTACTCTCGAAGAGGCAATTTCGTCTCTTAAGCTACCTAGTTATATACTGATTATTCGTATACTATATATTATATATATTATATAGCTTAGTCTTAAGGAGCTCCTTAGTTAGATAGATGCGAACCTA